TGACAAAAAACATGTTGAAACAAAACTTACATTTTCGTATAACCTAAGAGTGTCAAAAAAGATGCTAATTTAAAAATTCCTGGAAGCCGTATTTATTGAAATTAAAGAATGAGCCTTATTCTAAATTAAAGCTCGAAGCTTTCTTTTTAAAATGATGTATAATAATTGTTGGGTTGGATTGGAAAAATATTGACAAAAAACATGTTGAAACAAAACTTACATTTTCGTATAACCTAAGAGTGCCAAAAAAGATGCTAATTTAAAAATTCCTGGAAGCCGTATTTATTGAAATTAAGGAATGAAACTTATTTTAAATTAAAGCTCAAAGTTTTCTCTTTAAAATGATGTATAATAATTGTTGGGTTGGATTGGAAAAATATAGAGAAAAAAAATTTTGAAACAAAACTTACATTTTCGAATAACCTAAAAATATTAAAAATATGCTAATTTAAAAATTCCTGTATGCCGTATTTATTGAAATTAAGGAATGAAACTTATTTTAAATTAAAGCTCTAAGCTTTCTCTTTAAAATGATGTGTAATAATTATTGGGTTGGATTGGAAAAATATTAAGAAAAAAAATGTTGAAACAACACTTACATTTAAAAGAGTCAAAAAAGATGCTAACTTAAAAATTCTTAGAAACTATGTTTATTGAAATTAAGGAATGAGACTTATTTTAAATTTAAGCTCAATGTTTTCTTTTTAAAATGATCTGTAATAATCACACCTAATAACCATTTATCAAAGAAATACCTTCTTAAACAACAAAATTCAACAGTACCGCTTTTCAGTAAACTTCTAACCTCACATCTGGATGAATAAGTTTAAAGTGTACCTAAAAATCCTACAGTGCGGATTGCGACGTTTTTTATACAGATTATTTCTTGTATACACTTGTATAGTAGAAAGTACAGACAGCTCTAAATGCGCCGAATAGATAACTACAGTTTAAAATGAGTGTTTAAAATTACCGGTACTTTAAAGTACCGTCGGGACACAAAGGGTTAAGATATGATTTGGAAAGTTACCAAATTTTGACAGATTTCATTGATTTGGAAAAGATTTTTTAAATTTTCCATAATGTTTGGTAATTTACAACTATTTCCAAAAAGAATAGTGACCAAGAATGTAATTTGTGAGTGATCACAAAAATAGCTATTCAATTTGATTTCACAATGAAAAACTTTACATGGTAAACCGTCTAGTAATTTTTTTAGTACCTTAATTATTCAGTATTATTTGATAAGCACAGTATTTCATCTGTAGTAGTTGATAACAATGGTTGCATCTAGTGATGTAAAAAGTAATATTAAATTACTGGTAATTTAAGTAATATTACGTAATATTACCTGCTAAGTTACCGTAATATTACCCGTAAGGTAACCCTGTAAATACAGATTAAAATATTGTTCAACATCGGCTATAAGAGACATCTATCGTCCAAGAGTTCGGTTACAATTGCTTTCTGATGTCTGTAATATCAAGAAAATCGGGGAATACCTAGGGACTTAAAATAAATATTTTGAAGCAAATGCCTTTTTGGAAATTGAAGCTGCTATATCACGATAATTATTATCAACATCGATACTTCAAGATGAGCAGGACACAAGTAAAGGTATTTTAATGTCAAGAATGAATAAATTGATAAAACCGATACATATAGCTGCTAATTTAATGGAACCAGCAAATAGAGGACGATATTTAAGTTCAGAACAAAATTTGATTGCCACAGAATTTATTTTTGAAATAGCTAAAAGTCATCCGAGGCATAATGATCCTGAAAACAGTAACTACTGAACTTGCCGAATATACAAAGTGAGAAGCGATTTCTTTGCAAATGACTTGGTCATCTTTAGTGAAAAATTAAATGGCGTTATGTGGTGGTCAGGAATCTTCCAAAGTACTATGACTAGACTTTAAGTCAATTCAGGTGTAGCAGTTGATTTGGTCACTATGACTAATAAAGCAGACTTATTTAGACAACGAGTGTTAGTTTCGGATTTAGAGAAACGAATCGCAAAGTAGCCATTCATCAAGAACCTTATAGAAAGAATATTTTGAAATTCTAAGATAAACGGAGACAATAGCCTCTTGCTGAATCACTATACATGATGTCCCATATCTTCCGCATCACAGCATTATACGGTTGTAGGATATATCATTCTGAAGCGATCTTTCTAATAAAATTTTTCCGTAATGTTTATAATAACCGCACGGGAACTGTTTAAACGAACCGTTTTTCGTCGAATAGCAGATCGTAAATCAGACACAAGTAATCGGCCCAATATATCTCGGTAAATGTTGACTTTATGAAAAAACATTTTATACCAAAATTGTTTAATATTTCATTTGCCATAATAAGACTGCATTCAATTGTTTTTAATTCAGAAAACAAATGAATAACGAATAACACTTAAATTTTTTAAATAGCAATGTATCCTTTCGTTAGGCTTATTTGATAGAGATTACCTTTCTCTTTATGATGACGTAAAATGTTTGTACCCTTACATTAGAAAATTTCTGAAAAAAATTGGTTATTAATAAAATTTAATCAATAACATTAATCTAGATATCCAAGATCCTCAAGTACCTGGAATTATTACTGTAAATTAAATTTACATACAAAATAAAAGAAATAAACGAAAAATTAGTGTACATTTCCAATAATTCGTCGTACTGCGAGGTACTTGACGATCTCGGATATCTAAATTAATGTTAGGTATTAGTTAAATTTTCTTAATAAATAATTTTTACATTTTTTTCAAAAATTTTCAGATATAAGGGTACTAAAATTTCTAAAAAAAATCTCTATCAAATGAGCGTAACGAAAGGGTACATTGCCATTTAAAAAACTTCAAGTGTTATTCGTTGTTCATTTGTTTTCTGAAATACGAACAATTGAATGCTGTGTTATTATGGCAAATAAAATATTAAACAACTTTTGTATAACATGTTTTTTTGTAAAGTTGATACTTACCAAGATATATACTATATTCCATACATAATGGGCACCCTGTATAAAACTGTATACTTTCTATTGATTTATCTTTACAGATTGTCAATTAGCTAGTGGAAAAAATGTTTAAGAACATCAACCTAAGTAATTGAAATCAAATCTATATTTTTAATTAGAACAATTAATCTGTTATAATAAATTTTAATTAGGTTAAATTCAAATAGAGGCAAAATTAAAAGAAAACCACATCTGAAATATCTTTTAAAAGCCGCTATCTTAATAAAAACGGTTTAATTACAACCGAGAAGGAAACGATACCACTTATTCTGATAAAAATTAATTATGGTACTATTAATTTAAATTAAATTTTTTTCCCTGAAAACAATTCAAATAATAAGTTAACTTTGCCCCGCCTTAAGTCACGCAAGAAATAACACCAATGAAATCTTCCAGCAGGTGTAAGCCAATGGTGAACCACAACTAAAAGGAACGCAATGAAAAATCTCCGTATCTTATTTAAGTAGGTATAAATAGAAAAAGAAGTAAATCGGATAAACAACAACAAAACGATCGATCAAATCAAATGAAAGATCTCTTAAAATCGGATGAACACAATCGAAAAAGAAAAAGAAAACAGAAAGCTGTCGACCCTCTTTAAGATTGTATACACAAGATGTGTGTTAGTCTCTTCAGGCTGTAAATGGACAACATTTACTCATATAGGAAGGCACGGGTCGGCGTGAGTTTAATAGCCGGCAATTGAGCCCTCGGGTCTCTGTGCTACTCAATACGCAATAATCCTCTATTAACGCCGACTGATTTGATCGATCGAAGGATAACCGTAATTTGCCATTTGGCTTTCTTAAAAACCCGAAGAAAAATATACTCAATGTGGTTAATGTTATCTGAGAAGACATCTGTTTTTTTTTTCTAAAAGACGCGGATCAAATTTCGTTTACTGGTTTTGTTGTTTCGCAAACATTGATGTGCATTTTGCGGTCAGATTCACAATTTCGATCGTCTATTCAGTTAAATGACCATCTTTTGGGTTAAACTCGAATAGAAATTCGTTTTAAGAAAAGATTTTCTTTCTTATTGATTCTCCTTTTCTTCGTATTGTGCTTTTTAAGAATGAGATGTATTAAAACCCATTGAAAAGCGTAAACTACTCCTCGGAAAAAAATTAAATTGGAAATATGTAGATGTATTCATAAAGCTGACGTTTGCTAAAAATATTCCAGGTCAATTTTTAGTTTATTCCCTCTTCTTTACTTTTTTTAAATAATCAATATCTTTTTAACATTCTAACAAACCAAAAAGAGGAAAACTAAAGAAAACTTTAGAAAGACTAGTAATTAAGAAAAGAACCATTCCCCTATTCAAATAAACCATCCCTAAAAGCGTTCTATCCAGCATCCCTTTTTTATATTCTTCTACATATCAAACGTAACAGTCCTCCTCATGATGGTCATTATTACCCGTAAGAGAAACACAATCATAAAGAAGCAATCCGTCGGTCCGCGAAGGGACCTAATTGGATAATTCTCCTCAGGCTTTGATAATGAAGGGCAAAAAGCATACGGAAAACGAAAGAAAACGTTGTATGACCAGGGGGGATATTAACATCCCCATCAAAGAATACTCTCAGTTAGGGTTGGTTAGTTTTTTTCCTTTCTTTTTGAATTTTAACAAAAAAAAAGAAAGAAAAAAAATGAATTTCTCTAAATTATCCTTATCGAATGCGCGTGTACGATAAGGACAATCTCGAAGGAGCCAGTCGAGCCAATTTAGGAACATTTGATAATGAGGAATGACACCCAGACGGAAACGGAAAATGATACGGAGAGATTACGTGCTGTTTATTTCTATGTGGTATATAATTAGACCATTCTGTTTTTTCAAGTCGTTTTAAAGGACTTCAACAGCTTTATCATCGGTCGCACGCTTTTGATATCCACAGAAAAAAAAATCCCCAGTTGATAAACAAATAAAAAAAATTGATTGTCTTGATTTCAATAAAAGAAAAATTAATAAAATCTTACCTTTATTTGAAAGGGAGGGAAGTAGTTGTTGGCGATTTGAAGTCCATTTATTAAGTCTGAAACAAAAAAAATAAATAAATAAATAAACAAAAATTTGAATCTACAAAGAAAACAAACAAATTTTTTATGTTATGGTATATGAGTTGTTAAAAAAATGTTTTTCCATACTTTAGGTGGAAAAAGAAATCTTAATGACCCTCGACGTCCCGCTGAACGTGAAAAGAGTTCCCGGTGTTGTTACGTTTAAACCGTTTTCGCCTCGAGTGTACACGTCAGAGACGTAAAGAGGTTAATTTCGTATTGATTAAGTAAAATTAGAAATTTAAATCGGCGATGCGGGCAGTTAAAATCTTACCCCGTATACAAAGAAAACCCATCGCTTTTTTTCAACGTTTCTTTTACGTTAATTATTTATTCATAAACCTCGGTGTCCTACAAATTTGAATAAAGTCGGAAAAAAAATCCACAGCGAGAGAAACCGGAGAAGTACTAGATGATGTAAGTCAATGAGAATTAGAGATTGTCATGAAAGTTTAAACGGTGGGCGTCTTAACGTCTAGAGGTTACTAAAGTAACAAGAGATGAGAGGGGCGTTTCATATCAACTTAATATTTCAAAACGATAATACATAAATTTCGAGATGGTTTGTTATTGTGAATTGAAATCAAAATTAATTATTTAATCCGGGTTTTCAGTCAGTTTTAGTTATGTTTTAGGCGAAAACATTAAAATAAATGTGAAAATTACAGTGGCGTGCATCAAAAATCACGTTCGCACCGTAATGTATTCCGATGCGAGAGCGATGCGAACGTCGAGCTCGGCATTAGTTGCAATTACCGGTAACCATTTCCGGTCCGGAAATAGCCGGCACCCTGGTGACGCTTGCGTACACCACCGCTGACGGCTCAATCTCCTCACCCCGCGTAACGCCTCTGGCTTTAATTCGCGGTCTTTTATAAAGACAAATTACTTTCCTGCCCTGTTCACTACAACAAACACGCATACTGCTTAGAAACGTTTTAATCGTTTTTACGTTTTTATTCACTTGGTTTATTCGAGTTTACTTAGTAAAACAATTTTTTTACTCCTAATTATACATGAGAATGTCTCCGGATTACTTGCAATAGCTTTTAAAAGAGTACTGAGATTTTGCAATCTGTATGGTAGTGAGACGATGTGTTTGGCAAGGATTTTTAATTTTATATTTACTGGCCAAAGAATTTTAGATTTTTGTGTAATGACGCATAGAGATATAGGTTGGAAATGGAATAAAGAAAGTCATTCCAGAACGAATTTTCTGTTTTGCCAATAAGATCTTGAACCTTGTGTCATCAGAATATAGGAAGGAGTATGAATTAAAGTGTGAGTTTTGATTTACAGTGTAGATGTTATGGCAGGAAGTGTTATTGTGAAGGAGAGAAAAAAGATTTGCGAGAAAGTACTTGATGAGCTGTAAAACTATATAATAATGATTTTTCAACTTCAATTCAAGTAATAAATCTATTTTTAACAGCAATTATCAGCAGATATTTAAATAATTCCTAAATAATTCTATCCGTCTTAGGAACGCAAAAGGTAATGGAGGTGATGATTTAACTAATGTAAACATTAACTCCAAGATTTTTCTAAGAAGTCCAAAGTGTTTCAGGTAGATTTAGCAAAGCAAATTGATGCAAGTTATCTTGTAGGAACAAAATGAATCACCATGAAAGAAAATTGTTTAAGAATAGACTGCGTGGATCTTTTGATATTTAAGCACATTAACTACCGCAGGTGTTGTATTCATGTAGATCAAAATACCCAAGTATTCACAACATAAATCAAGATCGACGAAGTTACTTGTGAATCAGGACTCTTTGCTAAAGAATTGTTTCGAACAACTGAGAATCTGACTTTGAACAGAGAAACTGGTATTCGTCAAATTAGCTAAATAGATTTTAAATTTTGTCGGAACTTAGTTTTTGTTTAATTTTCAAGCCTTTGAAGTTAATGGCACATTTAATTATGTACTTGAATTCATGATCTACATATCAATTTGCACTTTTGTGCTCTGATAGTAATTTGCTTCAACATACGTTACATATGGATTTATTGGTGCATTTAGAAAAAATTGTTTTACAAAATCTGCGCGATATTTAATGTAAACTTAATAACTTGTCAATTTCCAAATGTGGGAACAAAATTATCGACGAGTTGCAGAAATTTCTTTAGCAGAAAACGATATTTTTGGGTTTAAAAACTGTGAGATTAATGTTTGGCCTTTCAAGTTAGTTAATTTAGCTTCTCAATTGGTACACTTATCAGATTTAATTATAAATTCCTGGTCAGTCTTAATAATTACCATGCAGAAGAAATAATTCGTTGTGCAAGGTTCAGGAAATTTAATTCTACTTAACTTGAAGAACCTGTTTTTTTTTTAAATATGGCATTGTATTTTTTTCTTTGTGATGCTTTTGAGGATATCGGAAAAGCTGTTGTAACATGTGTGGTGTATTTCGAAGTTATCAAAGTTAGTGGATTACCCAAATTGTTAGTACTTAGTGTTTCGTAAATTTACTTAGGTTTAGCTAAGTTTGATTTGGTTATGGATTTTCGTTTGGGTCATCATGGACACAACTTCTTTTCTATCTATTTTAATTTCATATGTATTAATCATTTTATTGCCCAACAAATATTTATTCTAAAGATAATTACTAAACGTATTAGCACTTACAAATTCATTGCTCGTTTTTGTTTCATATATGACAAAGAGTGTCCAAACAAACTGTGATAATCTGCAAATATCAACACTAATCTATTTTTTTTTTGTACTAACTCCTTTTGTGCGTTTGTGATGAGACTCGTTGAGTACAACATTTTTGATGGGTGAACACAATAGATTAATCAAATCCTATGGGTAAATAGAGGAATAAAACTAAAAATTGGTCCACGTTTATTTTTGACTATTTATTTCTACTGCAACAGATGAAAATTTAATTCAAATATAATTCGAGGACGCAGTGTATGAACCACTACTAGGTACGTTTTAGAGATGCGAGCTGTACATTCGATCAATTTTGTTTTATTCAATTCGCTTATTGTTTTATACCAAAATGGGAAACTGTGAACACAGTACAATAATCCTAAATCATCAATTTTCCAAACTCTACTTTACATACTCAAAAACTCATACTGAAATAATCCTCACATTAGTTGGTGTGCCCGCTGGTAGATAATTAAAGAGAAGCACACAACGAATGTATAGTATGAAAAAATGTCTATCGTAATGTTTCAAACGTTTCAAACATATCACGTAATAATAATGTAATTCGATTATAAAGAAAATGATTTAAATGATATAAATAATAGGTGACTTTTTGATGAAATGTAGGTGGGTTGTTGGTAGCGCTGTTGGTGGACCGACATCGAGTTTAGTTGCGGCGCTAATTATTACCATGTAACTGGATAATTAGGGGTTTTGTGTTTTTGCTCGCGTCCGGCTGATATTTTGTTGTAAATTAAAATTATCGACGACCTAAACGGACCTCGAACGAAATTTCACCGGTAGGTGGCAGATACTGAAAAACGACTGTTATCACATATAATATTAATTTGCAACCAAAACCCGTTGCGTGAATTCGTCCCGGCTAATGAGACCGTTAGTATGGTTTAGAAATAAACTACTTTTCGACGGTGTGCTATATGTTTTGACGCGATGTTATTATTAATTAAATTTAATATCTTCTCGGCTTTCTACGTTAATTAATATTAAACAACGATGAGAAAATTTTAATATGTGTTTAAAAAGTAAGTGGATAAAATGTAAAGTTATTAGAGGAGGAGGTTTGATCCATATCGACCAGTTTTTATATATTATTGAATTAAAATAAAAATCCAATACTTTTTCTGGTCAGTATCTATTTAATGTCTTACCAGTTTCGGTTTACGCAATCATCAGAGACTTTATGGTAGTTATAATTAATTTTATCAATATATAGGATTCATCTTTGTTGCACTTATTAAAAATACACGTTAAAAAGTTTAAATTTATAAATTAACACGATTAGATCCAGAATTTCGACACAAAAATATATAGTTATATTACAATGTTAGTTTCTTTGATATTTGGGTTGCCTATATCAATTATTATAATTCTCTCTTAAAAAATTTAATTTGAATTAAATTTAAAATAAGAATAAAGTTGATAATAATATTTGGAATTAATACATGTATATTAGTTTAACATATGATATATAACTCGTGGTATTAAACTCAAAAGCGTGAACAATGACACTTCTCTCTGTGTATACATAGTTTTGGCCATAATCGTGTACCTTGTAATGTTAATAGATTATTCACTAATGAATTTTGCTAAACACATGTGGTATCAATCGGCGCGTTTATCGTCAATGGGCTCAACCCCGCAACCCCGCGCGCCACCTAGTTTCCCATTCGACCCCTTGACCCAACCCCGCTCGTGCCTACTGTACATAATTTGGTCACTAGTTTACACATTATGGTTAATTGCGGTCCACCGCAACGACTGTTCATTAAATGTTACGCGTCACTACACGTGATTGTCACGTGGCATACGATTCTCACGTGGTCTATAGTAAATTATAAATACAACAAACATACGATTTATTTAACTTCCCCATTTTCATTTAAAATCAGATTCAAAGTTCTTTATGAAACGCACCACATTTTTTTTGTCAAAAAAGTACATAGAGAAGGGAAAATTAAAGCTTTAAATAGCTTTAAATATTGATTTGAATAACGTATCTTAATTCAATTGTTAAACGATATGAAACCATCAATCGAAAACAAGTTGAATTTGGGTAAAAGCGATTATCGACCAATAATTGTCGGTAATTTGGCGGTGTCGAACGCTAATATGCCATAAATAAAAACAATGTGACAATTAAAGGTTTTAATTTATTTAGTGTTCCGCGCGAAAATATGAAAAACAAATTACGGGCCGATTCGATAAAATTGGGTTTTGTTTATAGGCGGTGGTGGCATCGGTGGCTGTCGAAGGGGGTGGTCGAGCGAACCCCTCCGCTAAAAATTTAATCGCCCTCCCAATAACCAGGTTAATTATTAAATACAATATCAGTTTCAATTGCATTAATATTCACACAATATTTGACACTGACCTATCCCATTCTGGTCGTCGGGCATTTCAACGACCCGCGTATACACGCTCGACGCAATTACTCGTGTGCGTTGTAAATACATGGCGAGCACACGAGTACCGATTGTTTGTTACTACGGTTATAGAAATGGGACATACCAGTTAATTGATGCGATCGACCACCCCGTAACACCCCCCATTCTACTACTACCATGTTGATTGCTTAATAACTTTTTCTCACCTCACAAGCTAACTAGGTAAAATTACACCCTTGTGTTTATACAACTCATTCGACACACATATTGTCACTAAATTTGACGTTTACAAGAATAGAATGACATCAAAATAGTTCTTTTACTTAAATAACTGATTTTCTTATAAACATACACTAATTATACATTAATACAATGATAAGAAGTTATAATATTTCATATAAAGGCTTGATTATATATTCAATTTTCAGATCACAATATACTGATGAAAGATATAAATAACAAGATTTAGAGACCAAAGTGTTAACTCAAATGACGATAGCAAATAGAAGAAAAGATTTTGTTTTTAACAGTGATTATAACCCATTTAAAATGAGAATATTGGAAAAGCCTATGATAACATTGAATTAAGAATAAACTGTTGAGAATCACAAGACATAAGTAAAACACATCTAGTATAACGCTACTACTATAAAAAACCTGAAATTGAGAATCCATAACGGAATTTCTTGTTTCTAGCTTCAAAAGCAACAAAGAACTAAGTTTGTTATGTATCAAGGCGAGAAAATCGTAAGTTTTTTAAAAATTTACAATGCCAACATAAAATATTGTTGCAGATATAATTTGAAATGTTAAAATTCGTTTGAATAAATTCGCAGATAATTATCGCCGATCTAGGATGTGAATTTGATGCGAAAATTGTGTTGGACAAAGCCATAACATACATTCAAACTAATAACATTGTGAGATTAAGCTTTGTAAACCTGTATAGCATATTAATGTGAACTACAAAAATGTGGTTTAGCGATTAATACAATTAACTTGAATATTTTAGCTGGTTGTGGCGGATAATGTAATAGTAACATTTTTGTTACATCGATAATGATGAAAAACTAAATTCTGCGAAGTTTACGAAAATAAACTTATTCTGTTTTGATATAGATCTGAATTTAATCAGATAAAATCATCAGACTTAAAAGTTAAAAAATTGATTGATTTTAAAAGTTCATCATTAATATTTTTATGATATTTACTATTATTTGTCAATTTGATCTTGAGAGACGATTGTTTAATTTTGTGTTCTTTAATCAATAACAATGAAGATTTGGAATTAGAAAATCATAACAACGAGATTTGTGGAAGATAGGAAGTTATAAGATACGATTTTTTATATTTCTGTTCTTAAAATCTAAATCAAAGTTACAGAAGTTTGTTTAAAAAATCATAAAAACGATATTTATGGAAATTATTTATGTCACACTAAATCCCTATTAAGTTGTATTTTTAAATCTATATATAAACATCAAATCTGAAGAGTTGGGTTTAAACACTCACTAGAACGGTGTTTACAAGAAATAAGAAATTATTTAATTATTAAAATTTCATTATATTTGCTTTAAAATGTTTTTTAGGTTATTATGATATCTGAATTTGTTCTGAAGGTACGATGTCTTAAAGGTCAGTTTTTAAATCTATAAATACTAAATCTGATGAGTTGAGTTTAACACTCCCTAGAACGTCGTTTATAGGAAATAAAAAATTATTTATTGCACATTAAAATTTCATTAAATTTGCTTTAAAATGTTCTTCAGCTTATTATGATGTCTGAATTCGTTCTTGAGATACGACATTTTAAAGTTGTATTGTTAAATCGATAAAAATTAAATTTGCAGAGTTGAGTTTAAACACTTGCTACTACGGGCTTTATGGAAAATACGAAATGATTTATTTCACACTAAATCCCTATTAAATTTGCTTTAATATGTTCCTTAGTTCATCACGATATCTCAATTCGCTCTTGAGATACGATTTTTTAAAGTTGTATTCTTAAATCTATAAACATCAAATTTGATGAGTTGGGTTTAAACACTCACTAGAACGATGTTTATAGGAAATAAGAAATTATTTATTTCACATTAAATTTGCTTTAAAATGTATTTCAGCTCATCACGATATCTCCATTCGTTCTGAAGATACGATTTCTTAAAGTTCTGTTTTTAAATCAAGAAATATTAAATCTGATAAGTTGGGTTTAAACACTCATTAGAACTGTGTTTATAAGAGATAAGAAATTATTTATAACACATTAAAATTTCATTAAATTTGTTTTAACATGTTTTTTAGCTTATTATGGTATCTCAATTCGTTCTGGAGGTACGATGTCTTAAAGGTCAGTTTTTAAATCTATAATTACTAAATCGGATGAGTAGGGTTTAACACTCCCTAGAACGGTGTTTATAAGAAATAGTAAATTATTTATTATACATTAAATTAGCATTAAAATGTTCTTTAGCTCATTATGATGTCTCAATTCGTTCTTGAGATACGATTATTTAAAGTTTATTCTTAAATGAATAAACATCAAATTTGCAGAGTTGAGTTTAAACACTTACTACAACTCCCTTTATGGAAAATACGAAATAATTTATGCCACACTAAATCCCTATTAAATTTGCTTTAATATGTTCTTTAGTTCATCACGATATCTCAATTCGTTCTAGAGATACGTTTATTTTTTAATTCTGTTTATAAATCTAAACAAATCTGAATACATGGGTTTATACACCCACAATAACGGTCTTTATAGAAAATTAGAAATTATTTATGCCATATTAAGTCCCTATTAGTTTAGCTTTATAATGTTCTTTATTTCAACATGATATCAAAATTCCTTCTTGAGATATGATTTTATAAATTTCTGTTCATAAAACTGAAATAATTAAATGCCGAGTTGCGTTTAAAAAATCATAAAAATGGTCTTTATCGCAAATATGATGTCTTGATAGTTAAATTTGCTTTAAAATGCATTTCATTTCATCATCATAGTTCATTTGTTTTTCAGGTATGATTTTTGGATATTAAAAATATTTTTTTAATTATTATTTTGGATATTCAATTATTTGGTCTATTTGGCTTTGATTTCTATGCTATTCTCATTTATCATGATCTCAGAATACTGCGTGTGCTTCCTTTAAGTACATATAAAGAAAACTTTATATATTCTCACTTTTTATCCATAACATATTTGAAGGTAATAAAAAAACGTATTTGAAGAATACCTTTTTGGAACTTATATCTTAGCAAGAGCGCCATCTATAGAAGAGTTGCTGAAGTAATTAAAGAAATGAAGATATATTTTTGAAGAATACAGTTTACGCTTAATTTTGTTATTAAAATTTTTGAAATATAATAGATTTCTGTATTAATTTCTCTATATTTTTGAACCATAATTGATTTGTTCATAATCGCGAAAGTAGATGTAAACATAACGTTGAATATTTATTTTTCGGTCTGTTGTAGTATTTCTGGCGGTTGAGTTTGTCGATCGTATCGGGGTGGAAAATGTGGATAGAACTAAAGGCGGGGTCCCGCGAAAGCTGTCAAACATGACAAAACTATACCTTTGGTGCTGCCCAAAACGGTCGAAACCGAGCTGATAGAGAGTAGGCCGGGGCGATCGCGGAGCCGCGCGCACCATTTCGGCCCGGGGTAAATAAAATAAATCACGGGTATTTCGAAATTGAAACGGGCCCGGGCGTAAAGCGGCAAAACAAAAACGCGGGCTCGCACAGTTGAAAATAAATCTCCAATAGAGGAGTTACAGCGGCTATCAAATATTTCGAATTTTAGATTGATTTATTTCAGGTTCGTGTAAAATATAACGACGAGACCGTTTTCCGACGCCCTCAATGTATTTTCTCTTCTCTCTATCCAAATATACGCACTTTTTCAAAAATCGATATTTTTCAACAAATTTTTGTTTAATATGTACCAAACTCTTTTTTTTGCGACATGAATTGAATTGAAACTTTCAAAAGCTTTTCAAAAGAAATAAAATATATTTTTTATATAAAATAGCCGGTTGGTCGAGTGATGGAACCGGTATAACTAGCCCTTTTGGACAATACCAAACCAGAACTACCAACGGTTTTAATCCTTACATCTGTGTGTTTATACTCATATCTGGTTCTACAGCCTTTTGTCCACAACCCCTTTTTAGACGCGATCTTGCTCCGGCGGCTGGTTTTACAAAAGACCCTCGGACCAATATAAGGAGCTCAATCGAAAGATTTTATTCAGTTTCGACTTGGTAACCCGTGCTGGTACACATAATTTTCAACAAGATGTAATCTTTTCGAAGAAGTCGTTGTTTTCGACCAAATTTAAGAAGCAAGCAACAAAATTTTAAAGAAACAAAAACATCAAGAGTAAGTAAGTTATTTTTTAATACATACGTTTTGAATTATAATTTAATTAATAATTTGAGCTTTTTTGTTTTAATTTTGAGTTTAATTTATTTAACGTTGAGATCAAGAAGTTGTATCAAAAATTTTTGTTTGTCGAAAAGATTTATGTAGCATAAAAAATAAATAAAAAGCAAAAAAAAAACTAAAATTTATTAACGATAATAATAATAATAATAAAGAGTAACAACATTGAAAGCACAAACATGCGGCGCGTCCTCCACATAAGCAGCAAATAAAAAAAATTGAAAAAGTGAACACACGAGCGCCAGTTTGTTTACCTTCAACTCATGTGAGCGCTAAAGCATCCATGGTTCGCGTAAAGTTCGTATCACGTCGAAAGCGTTGATAATTGCGAACCCACTTAGTTATTAAACGTACGTCCATCCACTTTTGGGAGGTCTTTTTGTAGTTAAGATCCGCTTAAGACGAACTATGTTTTTAATATTTTTGTATTATTTATATGGTAAATCACTCGTCCAGAAAATACACTATGATTATTAAATATAACTCGGTCCCGACCAAATATTAATTTTAAGGTAATAATGATAATCACTAAGTGTCCACTGTTGTTGTGTTCTTCCAGTTTCGTCAACACCACTTAAAGTGGTAAACACTGGGAACAAGAGTAGGAGTTGGAATAGAGCAAGGAATGTAAGTCCGTTTCTGGTTGTCCTTCCTGAGGGTGCCAGTTTCATCTGAGGTCCCAAGCCGACTGAGCTCCTGAGATGCCGACGACGTCTAGACGTCCTGCAGGAGGAGCGGGACCGTCGCCGCCACCACACGCGTCGAGTCGTCCTGCGCAGGACCTTACGCGACCGGAGGATCCCGTAGGAGTAAAGTTAAGACGCGGGCATAAGGATATCCTTAGGGAAGACGACGGCCAAGCGGGAACCGGCCGACGACTGACTCAGGAAGACGTCCTGAACGTCCAGAGGGGCGCCGGCGTATCCCCACCACCATAACCACGCCCCCCACGGAGGGGCACATTCTCATCCCTTCAAGGATATTTTTAAGTAAGGACTAAGATTTTTCAAGAACGAATTCGCCATCCCCACCATCACCAACGTCGGGACGCCGAAACCGACGCCGTCGCCGACGATTGCCACCCCCCCACCGATCCCTCTTTCCCTTTCAAGTTTTCAACCCCCATCAGGATTTATCCTTGCTCAATTTACAACACTTTACACATACACATATTATGGATTAACGATTTTTTTAACTTTTTTCATTTAATTGATCAGATTGAAATTTCTTATACATATAAAATTAATCTCTTTAAACCGATACTCGTTAGAACAAGTCGAAATTGAAAAATTAAACAACATAACACTATTTGAGATGTTAATTTTAAATTGAAATTTGGTGAGTTTGCAAATGAATGATTTAAAACGATTTTTTTATAAAGTTCGATGAAATAGTTTTAACGATTCCAACAATTTGAATGCAATCCACATCAAACATACAGGGGAGATTAAAATATTATCCACAACAAAACTAATTTTAAAATTTTTTGTTCAAATACCACAAAATTTCTCTTAGAACTCTAAAAAGATTTAATCGAAATGTTAGAGGGTTGAAAATGAAATAATTAAATTAAAATAACCGAGAGAAATTTATGTAAGATAAAATTAAAACTAAAAGTGGGTTTGAAAGATTAATTATAAAAGTGGAAAAAATTATAGTTCTAATATTTAGATTTGACGAAATGAATACCTCATCAACTATCTTATTATTAAAAAGGACGATTACACAAAGAAATGTATGTATCATAATGAAAAGAAGATTTTTAAAAATAAGTAAACTCACCAAATACAAAAAATTCTAACTTCCGCTCTAAGTCCCATTTCAAATTGACCAAAAAATTAACTTTCTAACAACTTGATGAAATAAAAATATAAAAAAATAAAGTCCTCAATTAATAAAAATTCAAAAAAGTCAAAAAAGAAAGAAATTAAAGATGTAAGTTCCAAAACAATAGAAGGAGTTTGATAATAAAAGAAGGAATTAAAAAAAAAACAATTTTCTCAAAACAAAAAGATGTCCGCGATAGATAACCGGAATAACGGTGACAGAAAAAAGACAATATCAGGGCCCCAAGTCAACCGGCTAATCAAAATTGAATTGGAATCGAATCATTTCCCCCACCGACCGCCCTCCGATCAACGATATCGAACGAAAGTTCGCTTTTCTCTGTGTTGTTTTTTATCGTGTTCGATGTACCTGACCTCTGCTAAATAATAACAGAAAAAAAACCTAATAAATAGTGGAAAAAATGCGACGGCGCACACGCGTAGTACGCCGATTTTTTTTTGATTTTATTTTTTAACACCCGCCGGATTTTTATTGGAAACAAACCCCTAAAATGTTTTTAAAAATAAATCGGTTAAAAATTTTTTTTTGGCGGTTTTACCAAGTCGATTCTCGTATTATAAATATTTATTAGAAGTTTCAATTGTGGCTTTGCACTTTTTAAAACGAAATATGTAATTTTTTGGCGAATTTAATAATTTTTTGGCGATTTAAAACAAAAAAAAAAAGAAATGTTTCGATTTGTTTCTGTGTACTTACGTTTTTTTATTAATTACTAATAATTGTTAACGAATCCCAATAAAACTTGAACAAACTTAAAAAATAATTTTATTTTTCATTCCCCACCAACTTTAAGATTTAAAACCACTTATCACCTTATTTTGTTTAATTCAACACCTTTCACCAACTTTTCACCACTTCTTCAAAGAAAAAAAAATAAACTAATTTTTAACATTTTTTTTCACTTCAAATTATTTTTTTTTTTTACAATTTTTAAAAAAAGCTTAAGAAAGCGAAGAAGAAAAAATTTTTTTCAATCTTACCTTTTGGTCGCCACCCCCTTCGAAATGCCGATGGAGTTGGTGTCCTTGAATGAAATGCTTAATTTTTTTTCTTCTTCTTCCGGTGTTATGAAAGACGACGTATCACGCACTTAGTATAGGAATCAACACACTTAGGGGACATGGTAGTGAATGTTCGTCTTGTGCCACACTATCAGCCCTTATCGTAGAGTGGGGAGGACGCATGAGCAGCGCCGCGACGGCAAGGATGCCGACTGGTGGCGGCGCCGACGTCCCGTGGCGAAAACTCAAACTACAGGGAGGCGCCGACGTCGAAAAATCCCAGGTCGGAAAAGTGCTGCGCGCGAAAAATTATTTTAAGCTTATAAAACCCGGTGATATCAAAAGTAAAATCATAAAAAAAAAGATTTAATAACTAATAAATTTAATAACAACAAATTGTTACATAGTAAATTAATTAATTTTATGTAATTCTGTAGATACAATTAAGTATTTTGGGGGTGTTGGTGTCGTAAACGACAATCGCTTCAATTTATTTGACCACAGCATCGCCACGACCTCCACCACCAATATAGGCAGAGTGCCGTAAGCCGTTACTCTAAACAAATACAATTAAGCTGACCAGGACAAAGACACAGAGAAAATTGGTATCTGCTTCGTATGTATACAAAAATTTATTGCCGGCCATCCCCCACGGCATCTTACCAGATGGTCCATTTAAGAATTGGAAAGGGGATTAGATTTTCAATGCTACTGAATCCTATTAAAAATGTAGTTCATTTTGTATTCGTAATTAATTTTATTAAGAAAATTATTAAATTAAATTAAAATTAATTTTTGACAAATTCATTATTAAAACTTTTGTTTTGATTATCGTTTGTTGCCCAAACAGGAGGAATGCACCCATAACTAACAAAAGTATTGACCACTTTGTTTCGTTCGAAATTTTGTGCAAAATAGGATAAGTCATCATGATCTTAGAACGATTTGTGCTACCACGAGTTTGCCATGACTCAGGTTTACCAAACCATACTGTGAATCAAGGACCTATTAGCAATTTGGGTAATAAAACCTCTTCAGCAGTTTCAGGAATTTTATGAAAAGATGAATCAATTAATTCAGTAACGCAAACAAAATCGAAAGAAACGTGAGTATTCTCTCAAATACAAGGTTAGATCAAATATATGATTTTTTTAGTTACTATATATACAGAGTTCTTAAATTTTTTTTCATTTTCAGTTTTAGATAAAGCTGTCTCTTACGACAGTAATAACGTGTAAAAAACCATAAAATTGAACAAAGCCATTGGAACGTATATTTGCGTACATGTCAGTAAATATTACTTCACCGCTTGATTCCACAGGACGACATTCAATAGAAGAAATGTTTTTCCAGAAAATATCGTCCAACAGGTACATAATCACATAACATTATATCTCACATAATGTCTTTTTTTCTAAATTTTTATGATCTTTCCATTTTATTTCTCAATATTATCCAAATACAGAATCTCCTTAGAACCTAGAACTCCTTAAAATAAGGTCGGAATGATTTTTTCAAAGTTTCCCACTTTTTGATATAACCTTGATTGACAGGTTTTCATATAACATTGTTTTTCAAGAAATTTTTTCATCTTAATCCTTTATCTTTACACCTTTTTCAAAAATAGAGTCTTTATAGGCTGTAATTAAAATATTAGTCTACCTTGGTGTATACCGAAAGAAGACCCATACCAACAGGTATTTACAGGCATGTTCACATCATCATCCCCAACAGAAGAGGTCCATGATCCGTACATTATTTCAGCGAGCAGCGAGACTATGTGAAGGAGAGAACTTGAAGCAGGAGCAACAGTTTCTACGAGGCGTGCTGCAGAAGAATGGATACACTTCGAGGGACATCAACCAGGCCATCAAGCAGCGAAAGCAGAAAGAGACACGGTAAGTACAAAACCACTTGGATTTATCTGTCTTCCCTATGTTTCAGGTGTAACGGAACGAATTGCTAGGCACCTCAAGAAGAACGACATCGTTGTGCGGTACGGCACGGTCAGCAAAATTCGGAACACACTCCCGATAGCCAAGGACAAACTAACTCCATTAAAAGGCGCGGGAGTCTATCGACTATCGTGTAGTTGTGGGAAGGTTTATGTTGGACAAACTGGACGCAACGTCGAGTGCCGCATCAAGGAGCATGAGAGGGATGTAAGGCTGAAGAAGATCCAGCAGTCGGCGGTTGCGGAACATTGCCTGGCTAGGGACAGATACTACCAAAGACTGACAAGAGAAGCCATAGAGATCCACCAACATAAAAATAACGTCAACAGAGAGGATGGCTGGGAGCTTAGCAGAACATGGAAGATGGTGGTGAACACGAAGACCTCTTCCCGCCTCACACCGGACGCGACGCAATTAGTTATTAATTAGTTTGTAATTAGCGTTAACTGATTATTAATTAGTTTTTCTGACTTATATATAGTTACCGATTTTTGATCTCGTCACTTCGAACCAGTTTCTGAAGAAGGTTGCAACATGGCATTCGAAACGTCAAACCTTTTATTAAAAGACGCATGGCAAAACCCGAAAGTTTCTAGTGTTAGTTCTAGTTTTAGTTCTAATCTTAGTTTATAATATTAGTCATTATTTAACTCCTCAACCTAAGGTCGGAGTGATTTTTTGACATTTTGAGTTATTTTGACATAACCCGAATTATCATAACATTCACAAAACATTAAATCGCAAAGTTGATATCTTAAAATCTCACTTGACCTTGAAGGCCAAATTAACATAATAGCAAAACCGTCTTATTTCCTCTCTCCTATCGCTTACCGATTGCCAATTACAACATGACAAGTCAGAGACCCCGAAAGAAGGTATTGAAAATGCCTTCAAAGCCCAGATGGGTTTAGCAGTGGATTATCCTTTGCAAGAGTTTGGGAGTTCTAACAATGATTGACATCACTGGTATAGATAAAACTCCCAAACATTTTTCATGATTTTAAGAGCAATTTCATCCATCATTTTCAAATAAATAATTTCAAAAACCTCAACCTAATTTGTCACAGCCAACTCAAATCCATCTTCAACCAATCGTTATGTTTCTAAAATTCAAGCAGTATTGTATCATCTCAGCCTACACAATTAATAATTTCCAAAACTTCAATCCCATATAATCTAACTGCATATTAATCTAAATCCAATATATCAAAGCCCAATCCAAATTATGTCCGACGTCTTCTAAATCTTATACAGTGAATTACACTTAACATGCAATATAATATATAATGCAACAATATAATTTGACATTACAGTAAAACCTCGATATAACGGATCAATACGAGGAACACAGTGTCTGTTATAGCTCAATAAAAATGTACAGTGAAGAGGCACGGCTAAATCTAAAAGTTTCTAGTTCTAGGTCTAATGTTAGTTCTAGTGACAGTGCGTTAAGTTTCGAAGTCTAAAAACGCACGGCTAAACCCGAATGTTTCTAGTTCTATATCAAGTGTTAGTTCTAGTTTTAATTGTTATTCAGTGTTAGATTGTGGTATATTTTTATTGAACGAAAAGTAGAACTAACACTAGACCTAGAACCAGAAACATTCGAGTTTAGTCATGCGTCTGTCAAGACAGAAACTCAGAGTTATCATACGGACGTCACCTTTTCCAAGTAAAACTTTTCGTTTGCAAAACTACCCAATGCCTATACTATTAAGCTATGTTACATTTTATGTGGGACACTGCAAGTGCATAGTAGTTTCGTAACTTTGGTTACTGCATTCATATATTGCGAGTTATATGAAAATATATCTTTTATATGATCAAGAATTTACTACCCTTTATACTTTAAATTCTTTAACAATTTTTAAAATTTAAACCAGAAACAAAACATAAAACAGTTTTGAATGAAAACAATTAATGATGTGCATTTACAAACAAGAATTGATTTTGTAGAATATTATTATTATCAATGTGTTAGTAATTGCAGTACTGGAGATTAGCCTTATTAAGTGATGTTTCAAAATCAGGAATGCAAAGGACGAGTGACATCCAGCAAAACATAACCAACACTAATCCGCTTGCAATCAGTAGTATGAATACGACATCAAAACGATTGGAAATTCTATACATCATAGCATGAAAAATTTTACGAATGTATTAATAATGTATCCATATAAATTGAAACCGATATTTGAATACACAGGGGGCTGGTTTTGCAATTAAGTCTGATTATTTCTTACTTTTCTTTTATTTTTCTCTTATCTTTTCTCTTATTTCTTACGAATATTGGCTCAGATGGAAATTATTGATCCGGATGGTTGTGCCGTATTTCATGGACAGATAAGTGGCAAATGATAACACTAATGATCGAAAACTTCTTCAACGCAGAAGTAAGTATTTTCTTAAGGCAGGGAATGGGTGAAACTTATGTGAGAGATTTTGGTTTGATTAATCACATCTCATTAACAGATTGGTTTATGTGTAATCTTAAAACAAACACTTAATTGTATACTTATTATTGTAGAGTTGGAAATAACATGCTGATCTTCGAGGCGTTGAGAATGGACTGGTGCGTTGTACATAATTTGCCTTTTCACAAAACGAACGAAGATATGCCTGGTCATCACGACATTATAGTTCTCGAAGCAATAAAACAGCAACAAAAAAAAGTAGAATCTATATAATTTTTTAGACATAATATTTGTGCCAAAAATCATCCTGTAGTTGCAATAGAAATAACGGTGCAATCGGTGTAGCATAAATAAATACTTTCTGTCATCAATAAATGCAGAAAATGTGTTTTA